AATCACTACCAGGTCACATACAAAAGTGTACATTTCATATTACAAATACATCACACTGCGACATCGGGTCGCCGTACCTGTGATATTCGTGGGATATATAATAATAATAATTATTCAACTTTACGAAGAAAATGTTTATTTTCCGAAAGTAAAAACAGATGATACAAAACTTATCATGACATCACCCTAATTAGTAATCTTGAAGTAAAACATGACAAATATATATAGCAATACAAATATACATTATTCCTAAATGATACATATCAAATACACTTACATTATTTAAGTGTTTGGGATCACACGTTAAAAGGCAAGGCCCCCGTCATTCCTTGCTCGCACAAGACTTTCGAAGACTTTTGAGGGTTGCTCGTAAGGGGGCAACCGAATGACGGATAGAACAAATTTTAGAACAAAAAACAAATTATCTTGGGACCTTCCATCCACCTTGTTTTAGATTGCAATATTCCTATCTCAGAGATAATTACAATATTACCTATTGTGATTGAACTCACCGTCGTTCCTAAATATGATTGAATACCTCCGTTCGTTTTGCGCATGTCTGCGTCACACTCACAGGTCACAAAGATATCTCATGAGGATATCAATGTGAATTATTTAGTTAACGTCGAAGAGATGTAGTTTGAAGAAGTCGCTGCCACATTACATAGTTTCCTTGTTGCGATGTCACCTTGCGACGTTGATATCGAATCTACGTCGATAAGATGTGTTAACGTGATATTGCATTTATGCAAGGTTGTTACATCACACAGATGTTGATGTCACACGATGGTTGGCTGGGTAGGTCAACCAAAAATCAATAAAACCAATGTTGAGGTCACCATATTTTGAAAAGTGAAGTAAACCGTTTTTCACACACTTCATCACATGAAATAATCTTCGATTATTTTCTTCGTATGATTTTCAACTATAATCAGAACGTTCAATTGAGCTAAGCTATACCTTGTATGATTTCGAATATTGATGGATATACATAGAGTAGTTCCACCAATTTAGAATTATTTCCATTTCCATATATTAACCAATTCATATTGTTACATATATATATTCCATGAAAAATCTCTTTTCTATTCATTTCTCAATTGTCTTTTCATCAATTCCAATAAAACGTTGTGGTTTTGTTAATAGTAATATATGAAGCTTCTTCTATACCTATAGTGCAATTAGATTCGCAACTTTTTTATCCTCCGTGTGATTTTTGTATCTAGCTTAGTTTTTGAGGAAACTAAAAATTCTATTTGACTCCAAATTTTGATATTGAGATTACTCAATAGCCCCAATTAGAATCATTCTGAGATTCTGGGGCTTTCTCAGTCTCTATCTGTTAATAACTAGTGTTGCAATGAATACACGTAGTTCGTGAAGTAAAAGTATATTCGACAGATCGAATGACAAAAGTTCGAATTAATTAATTAATGACATTTCTTGTCTCCATTGTATAGGGTGATTGGTTCATCCTAATACTATCCATACTGAATTTTGGCACCATGAGACCTCATACAGGGGGGTTAAATAAAAATAATTAATACTTCCAACTTCAAAACATCCTGTATTTCAAAAACAGAGCAAAAGTTAGGACACATGAACATTGGGATTGGGATTTTCATTGAAACATATATAGGCCAAATCAGGCGTCCCATAAAAACAAGGTTCAAAGAACACTTAGCACTTAGCAGTCGTGTGTAGCCGAACACATGTTCAATCACAATCATAACACACATATTAATAACCTCAAATTAGTTAAGCAAGTTAATAATGTTAGAAAATTAGATGCTTATAAAGCTTATAGAGATATTTAAGAATAGTAATAGAGTAATGAATAAGGATAATGAACCTATCCCATTTAGTTAGCCCTCTGTGTATAATGTATATATGTTGTGCGTCGATGAAAGAATGAGCTGGAGTTTTTATTTCTCTTGAATAAACTGTGGGCTCATGAGGAATGAGGCAGTGAGCTTATATAATCTTCTCAGCAATCGAAGTGAAGCACTACTAGCCATATCAACCTTACGAGAGGTTCTTCAGCCAATATATGTGTGTTCTGTGTAGGTGTTGTTACTTGACTCCATACGCCACCTCAACAGAAAATCGACTGTTCACTCATAACTTATACGGTTGATGCATGTATAGGAATGAACATGGTATTATATAGTGTTTAGCTATATCTCTGTTGCCTTATTATATCCTCAGCTCAGGTATAAGTCTATCGTTGAGAAATTCATACGCGATTCACCGGGTAGAATAATAATACTAAATTTTTTATGGTGCATTTTGGTGCATGTTTCATGTTTCCAACTGATTAATTTAGAATTTAGAATTTGCATGTGAGTATATAATATCATGAATGTGGTATGCACTCTGCATATGTATATGTATAGAGGTATAATTATTGTAAAATAGGTGATTGCAACAATTTCGAATCAAGGTCAGAATTTTCAAATATTTCTTGCGTGTCGGTACGGGTACAAAGTCTAAATAGTAAATACAAACGAATTTATCTATTAGTTCTAAAGTACAGCGCTTCTCTTGACATTCTCGCGTTATACCTAATAGTTAAAACTGATTCATCTCATAATCTTATATTATGACTGACAAACTGATAAATTGCAATAAATTCATTTAAAATTCACGATTTACGTGAAAGTAATGCATTATTGTTATACTATGAAAGCTTTTAAATCTATGTTGTACAATGTACATGGAATATTTTCTACCTTATTCAGTTGATGGATTATGTATTACCAATTGCAGCTATATATAGTTCATAGTGAATCAGTTGTGTCTTATATAATTTTACGAAACCCCTTATTTTGCTAACGTTATAGTTCCGGATTAAACTAAATAATCCATTTAGCGCTACACAGAAATCGCTTCCCTCTATCAGTTCGTTGTTTGAGGTGAGTTATAATGATAAGAAGAGCGAAGAGCTTATAACAGGTATGATAATTTTTCTTTTTTAATCTGTGACTAAAATGTCATTTTATAGAGTGCAATATTATATGCGCGTCACGGCGTGATCAATTATTGACACATTGAGTAAGAGGTTTTAGCTAAAAAAAGGAATATTCTCAGATAAATTATGAACATACAAAAATGGATATATATTTATATAAAGCAATACATTGAGAATTCGCATTCTCTATGTGATGAGAATATTTACTCTTTTTCAGTTGATTCAATAGAAAACTACTTTCCTGGCTATATGCCACGACGAACATTGAATTATATCTATTGAACACACACGATAAGAGTTTGAAAATAAAATATAAAAACTTCTGAAATTGAGAATTTGCATTCTCCTTCAGACAAAAATATGTATATGCACACATCATTCTGAATATTCAACAGAAAACAACTACTTTCCTGGCTATTTGCCACGTCGAACATTGAATTATATCTGATGAACATGGAAGCATGTGATTTTTATAGACCTCTAATCGCAGATTCGTGATGAGTCTCAATTTAGAATTTATTTCCACGCCCTGTATGATGAATGTCAATTTATCATACACCCAAAAGGTTTTTGCTACTTCATATGGAAATAAAATTGTCTCTTATAATATCACGAGAGCTTCAATTATTATTACCGGAATTTTTTTCGAGAACACGAATATTTTGGAAATTCCTAAATATTCGTGTTCGAGAAAAAATTCCCGGATATTAATTGAAGCTAAAGTGGTATTCGGTAAGAAAATTTTACACCAAACATTTTCGATCAATTTAAAAGCTATGGAATTTTAACAACACTTAAATGATCTAGTTGAAAATGATGGTTGTTTGTGATGAAATGTAATAACTAACGTATAGTAACAATAACATGTGTTTTTGTAAATTTCGAATTTGCAAGTATACCTACATAATATATTATATGGCAAACTGTTGATAAATGGTTTTTATTTATTGACTTATAGAATGAACTCGAAATAATCTGACGTTGAATGTAAAGGTCATTTAACCTATAAACGTCAAAAAATTTCCAGTGTAATTTCATGCTCCGTCCCCCAATAAGGAGGAGGAAAAAATTTCCAAGAAATTTGTTTAGTTGTTATGGTGTAACGATACGAAATACAGGCTTTAAATTGATCGAAAATGTTTGGTGTGAAATTTTCAATATAATAGTTGAAGCTTCAAAAACATTGATTATTGCTATATATACAGAGTGTGTGTGCCATTTCAACCCGCAACACCCTCCTAATTCGGAACCCGTCAACCGATTTTCAGAAACAAAAATTCCATAATATGCTACTCAACGAGCTCTTGTCAAAAATGTTGAAGAATTTGACATATTCAGATTTTCAAGACCTAGTTTTGTTATTGAAATTTTGACCCTTTCAACAAACAAAAGTCCGCTTTGAAAATCTGTATATTTCATATTTCACATTTTCGAATAGAGCTCGTTGAGTGCTATATTTATGGAATTTTTGAAAATCGTTGGACGAGTTCCAAATTAGAGGAGGGTGCTGCGGGTCGAAATCGCCGATTTTAGGATAAACTAGTTATTCCTAGGCTAAATCCGAAGACCGAAGAGATGAACTATAGTTTGTTAATATTTTATTGTGAGGAAGGAATAACATACACACCTCCATGAGATCATTCGGGACCGTTATAGTCATTGAATTTTTTATCAATAATCAGCTTGACTTTTGTTCCCGAAGTAGTTTAGACTAGGAGAAACTAGTTCATATCCGTTGGTAGGTTACTCGGTAGTTTATTAATTGACAAATTATATTCACCAAGTTTCGTGTCTTTAGCTTTATGTATAGGGGAAATGAAAAAGAAAAACCATATTTTTTTTATTTTCAGAAGGGTTCAACTTCCGGGAAGAGCTTTTTTAAAATAAAATTTACCAAATAACCACCTTCATTTTCAACACAGGATCACCCCTCAAATTTTTTCGGTGATATTCAGATACACCTTGTATAATGAAGAATTAATAAATATCCTCTGATTTCTTTATATATTTCGAGTTTTTCGTTGATTCCAATATATTTCTTAGTACCTATCTTCTAAACCAGTATCAATGTATTTACTCACCATCTATCTTTACAGGATGTATACGCCATTTTTATAATTTACTGTATAATATATTTCATAATTTTTGTAATGGATTGGATAATGATGGATTAACGATTAGCAGACATGATGGCAGGGTAGATAGCCCTCATGCCTGACTTCAAGTCTGACATAATACATCAAATCCTAGTAGCTAAAATAGAAAGAAGAAGTAGTGTCCTTGTGATTGTAACAGCTGTCAATCTGTCAATAGGTTTTTGTTTTTGTTCATATTTTAAATTATCGAAACTTGCAAATATACAATACAAAACAGAGAAGCTCATTCTGTTCATTCCTTATATGGTTAGTTTATAAACAATAATTTATGATAAATAATGTGAATTCCGTAAAATTGTTGTTAGTGTCGTGTCTACACGATAATTTATTAATGATATATTATGAAATTTGGGAAAGTTGGTTTGCATGGACATTTATGAAAAATGTGAAAACTACAATTTTTATGACAAAAGATTATCATGAACAATTTCATTCATTTCAGTTATGATAAGCAGCACACTTTTGAAACAGTACTTGCTGTATATCAACCAACATACCTGCCTACAAAAATTAAAATGGTATGTACACCTACCTATTTTAAATTCCATTTCTCTATCTAGTACCTACTTACATACTTGTAATAATATTGATAAGTTGAAATATCTATTACCTACTATGATGAGAAAGTCTAAAACCATTTTAGGTTTACCCTTCCAGTGTTAATTCAACTTAAAAATGAAATAAGCATTAGGTTTTTCAAATGGGACACTCAGTTTATTTCATTCCAGCTAATAGATTTAGTAGGTAGTAGGGAATAAAAACAAGGTACATTTTGGCGCATCTTTCTTTTTATGTGAAAAAAAGTGAATTGAACTAAACTGTTCTGGATGAAAACTCTTATTTAGTTATTATACCTACCCTAATTTTATAGTTACTTATAGGTACATCATGAACTCCTGGTTTCTATATCTACACCCATTTTTATGAATACCTATACTGTTTGTACTCAACAGCAGCAAATCAAAGATTTTTAGTGCAATTTTTTGTGGCTTGATATTCACTATTTCAAAAGAATACTTGGGAATGAAAGGTTCTGAAATCCATTTCAAACCAGGGTCTATAACCAGGGCCTGGTATAACATGTTGAAAAGTACTACCAAAAAAATCATGTATTTTGACTATTCTGAATTATTCAGTTTCTATTGAACAAAAAATTACTATAAATATATATATATGTTATTGTAGTCTTCTGCAAGATACAGATCATGCAAGTTGAAAATGTTAGGGAATCATTAAAAATAATAAGTAGTCATTGTATGAAACATCTAGTCCTTTCATAATTGCATAGATCTCCAAAGATTAACTGATTACTGAAGAATCTGGGTCTCCCAATCTCCCATCCCATGAAATGTCAATCTGTCCATCATATGGTTTATACCTATTATTTTGTTTATTTTAGAGTAGATATGTCCTGGGCCATCATAGTTCATCTTATGAATAGATGATATATCTGGCAATAATATTTATTCATTCATTCATTCATTCATTCATTCATTCGTTCGTTCGTTCGTTCATTCATTCATTCATTCATTCATTCATTCGTTCGTTCGTTCGTTCATTCATTCATTCATTCATTCATTCATTCATTCATTCATTCATTCATTCATTCCTTCCTTCCTTCCTTCCTTCATTCATTCATTCATTCATTCATTCATTCATTCATTTATTTATTATCTACCCAGATGTGACAAAAACATTACATGATCAAAAGTAATAAACTAATAGGTACCTACATCAATTGGGCCAATATGGGTTGACTTCAGCAAGGCTGATCTTCCAGTCCCCCATTAGAAATAATAAAAAAAGTATTTATCTATCAGAAATGAATCAAGTGATGCCTAATACTGAGATAAGAAAACTACACATGTAAATAATGTGCTTTTTCTCCAAATAACATTAAAAGAGTCTTTTTAATGACACTTAACAGGCAGAAAAGCTGTACTTTTACTGCCTAGGCAGAAAAAGTTTGTTGCGAATTCATTACTTCAACTACTACCTGTTAGGATATACTTAAGATATACCACAGGTAAATTCTAAATTGCACCTTTAAGTAATATTAAATTCAACATTCAACTTCACTTAATTGACAGGCACATGTTGAAAAACTGTAGGTTGGGGTGGGAAATTATCAAAAGGGGTCCACAATTTTCGTCAAACAATTTACTCAGCAGAATTCAAATTACTCACCATATCTCTGAAATGCGTTAATTGTATCTACGAAAAATGTGCCAAAAGCGAAAATTTACCCTCCTGGCACAAGGTTCTTCAAAAGGTATAAACAACTTCATGTTCTGGTCCATTTAAAAAAGAGAATCACATAATTATCGGACATTTTTCAAAGTTGAATCAAGAGAACAGATAATTGAAAAAAATTACTCTCATTTATTTTATTCAAAAAGAGTTGATTTTTACCTCCATCTAAAGAAGCACATTTTTCACTTATACAGGGAAGGGCTCTAGAGGGCACAAACCCTACATATATAATTAGTTAAAAAGTGACCTTCCTATTTTGTAGTATACATTGGATGAACAAAAAAGCATTGCCCCAAGAAGCCTACTGTCCAACCACCATCGAACATATAGCAAACATCCTCACTCATGGTATTTGGATCATCCCAAGCATTGTGGGCACATTAGAATTAGTTAACAGATCCAAGGACAGTGATCACCTGCTATCTGCTCTCATTTATGGGGCCACTCTGATATTTCTGTTCTCTATTTCAACTTCATTCCATTGTGTTTTCTACTGTAATAAGTACAGGTAAGTAGCAGTTTTCAATAAAGTATTATTTTATTTATTTTTTCACAGCATTTTTTTTTATCGCTTGGAGCGCACGAAAGGAAATCCCTATAATGTTCAAAGAACATCGTGCGTTCCTAGGGAGAATAGGGACAGGAGGTAGGTATTGGAATTTTTTTTTGAACTTCTGGAGATTATATGTTGTTGGGAATACTTATTATGAATTATGGGTGAAAATCGCAAGCTGTATAAAGATATGGGACAAATCAGTAACTTAGAGTACAGGAGGGTTATCCATCAAATATGCCCACAATGAGGCCTTTCCACAGCCCTTATCAGAAGTTTCACAGGGTGATCCCTAAAACCGTGGCAAACCATAAATTATATTTTTTAATGGAACACCCTGTTTTTTATATTTTTTTTCAGGATCTGTGAATTTTTGTGATCACAAAAATATATATTGTCAACTTTTTATACATCACTGAATTCAGAAGAATTATATCTATCAGAAGAAACTGAAATCGGTAACTTACAGTACAGGGTTATCAATCAAAAAGGCCTACAATGAGGCCTTTCCACAGCCCTTATCAGAAGTTTTCCAGGGTAATCCCTGAAACCGTGGCAAACCACAAATTATTTTTTTTAATGGAACACCTTGTTTTTTATATTTTTTTCGGGATCTCTGAATTTTTGTGATCACAAAAATATATATTGTCAACTTTTTATACATCACTAAATTGAGAAAAATAATATTCATCAGAAGAAATTGGAATAATATGTTCTTATTCCAAGAAGAAAGTTGACAGTCCCTGAGTTGAAATAATAAAAATATATTAGTGCCTCCTTCTTTCAGTATCTGAAGAGTTATTTCATCAGTTTTTTGTTCAAAATTGGACAATAAATAATGGGGCGCCGCGTTATCTGCTTAGCCCATATTTCCAAATTATTGATTTTCATCATTGGATATACAGGCATGGGTTTATGTTGAATTCTTTTCCTGGGCTCCTACATCCATAACCAGACGCTAGTGCCCCTACTGCACGAAGATTTGTGGTTGGACCTACCAGAAGCAATGAATATAGTGTGGGAACTTATACACTTTTACACTTTAGACACTAGGTGGCTCTCAAGGAAGTCTAGATCTAGGAGTAGATTGTGTATGTGGGTCGTATAGGCTGGAAGACATCTCGATCACTGCCACCTAGAAGATATATTGTGGATAATATGATTCCCTTGTCTTGTTTAGTCCTTCAACCATAGATTTTTGATGAGGCCTAGAATATTCTTGAAATTGAATTGTTCACCTCAGTAGGCGTCAGATAGACGATAAGACGATTGACATGTTCTAAGTGATTCAGCCTTTGGAGGACCAATACATTAGATGAGCAAAGTATATGTTCCGTGGTTTTGGTTGCGATGTTAGAAAAGCGGCAGGTGTCAGTCTCCGCTAGGCCCATCTTTATGAGGTGGTACCTCAGAGGTCAGTGTCCAGTGATAATGCCGTGATAAGCTTTGCTCTGGTTTGCATGCAAATGGTTGATGAACCTGTTCTTGCCATTGGCATGATGGAGTTGCTCTGCAGTTGAAAGATTTTTCAGTCTCTTCTCATTTCTTGAGCTCTGCCATCAGGTGATATTTACTTGCCCCACAGAAAGGCTCAGGATTTTTCCCATAAGGTAAATGAAGGCTAGACCATCGATATAAATTACTAATTAGACCGCTAATGCCGTAAGATCAAGGCTTATTTTTTTACGAGACCGAACTTGTTTCTAATATGGAGCGTCTGCGCATTCAGGATCTGACATATTATCCACTCTTTGTTCCGAACACCAAGAGACATAACTCAGTGTCGTGAACGACAGTTTGGACATGTTTGGTAGTTCCTGCGCATTGAACAGAAGCGTTTGCAGGCGAGCAATAGAGCAATTCAGCTAGCCTTGATAGAGAAAACCCTATGATCACACGAATGTTGGAACTCCCAGATGCGATGGATAGAATAAGGCCTTTACACTTTTGACACTAGGTGGCTCTGAAGGAAGTCTACGCCGTCTAGTAGACTTGCGTCTGCGGAGTCTGCGTCATATAATGGAATAGTGGTGGGGGCATAATCCGTGTCAGTCATATCAATGTTGCCCGAGTGTGCTGATTTTCTCCAACTTGAGGAAGAAAGTACTCCAATGGTTTTGAACTGATACGATAACCCAAAAAGAGGAAAATAGCATTTTCATAAATTCACATGGAAGTGAAAAGAGACTACTATTTTTAAACCATCTAACCTTACTTGACCTAAATGAACCTTCTTCCTGAGAAGGCAGTACTTTTTTCAGGGAGGAAAGAAAATATCCCTCCTGCATTAAAAGGACACTATTTTTTTTAACCATCTGAACTTGATCGGCCTAAATGAAACTTCTTCCTAAAAATTATACTTTTCGGAAAATCACTTGAGAAAACAGAATTAGAAAAAGCCGACCGTCGCAGGCATTGAACCCGGGTCGCCGACGTGACATTCAAACGATCAGTCAACTACGCCACGAATCGTAGTATGTGGTAGTATATGAAGAAAGAAGCGATAACTAGCAACGCTGAACTCCCCCCATACAATTTATGGCAAGTATACCCCAGACGCTACTGTCTAGTATATTGTAGATTGTGTAGACGGGAAAATCTATCGATTACTGACAACTTGAAGATATATTGTGATACTCTTATCAATTTCAGCCCTTCAACCTTAGGTTTCCGATAAAGCTTAGGGTTTCCTTGAGGTTTGAATTTTCCGCTCAGCAGGCGTCAGAAAGACCTGTTCTAGGCAATTTAGCTATCGACGGACTAATACATTAGATGAGCAAAGTATATGTTTCGCGGTTTCGGTCGTGATTTTGGAGAAGCGGCAGGTGTTTATCTGCGTTAGACCCATCTTTTTGAGGTAGCATCTCAGAGCTTTAGCTCTGGTTTGCTGAGGCTGAGTAACTCATCGGCTCTCTTATGCAAATGGTTGATGTATCTTCTCACTTGAGAGTTACCCCCCAGTAGGACTTTCAGTCTCTTGCCATTTCTTGAGCTCTGCCATTAGGTGACATTCACCTGTCCCAAGCACCTGTTCCACCGAGAAGAACAAGACTTCTGTCACTAGGTGGCTCTGATCGAAGGGTAAACCGTCGAGTGGTATATTTTGAAATCTTCTTCATTTGTAAAATAAGTACGAGTTGTGGTTTGAAATCGCCTTTCGTTCCTAGGCACTTGAAAAATGTCCTCCACCGTTGTGATAGAGCCATGATCTATGTGTTCATAGCGGGCTCCTACTTTCCATGGCTGACGCTGGAGCCCCTACCGCACGAAGGTTGGGCCTCCCGGATGCGATGGATAGTGTGGTGCCTCGCCTTCATCGGCATCGCCTACCAACAGATCTTCCACGAAAAGTACAAAATGCTCGAGACTATCTTCTATGTGATCATGGGCATCGGTCCGGTCTTCCCAATTTTGGTCGAGGTAAGTCGAAAAATGGATTGTAGCCTGTAGCATACGTATATTTTTTTCCACTGCTAGCTTCAGAACACATCAGCATTATTCACCATGTTTTCCACCGGATAATAGCTATTTATATGCCGAGGGAGCAAAGGTATCCAGTTTTTCTGCGTGTGAGGTTGAACACACCATAAAATTTATCTTGAAGAATTAAATGACTCATTAAAGAGATGATTCCTAACAATATGGGATTTGGATGTTGGATTAAGTGTTGATTTTGGTATCAATTATGGATCAATGAAGTTTAGCGTTTTTCGGTTTTTAACTCGCTTATATTATTAGCTTGGTATATGTATGTTTGTTTGTCGGCTTATTGTTTGTTTGTAACGGAATCTCCGAACGTGATTTTGACCCACTTCAAAACATCCGATTGAATTGAAATTTGGCAGGTGTACATAATTCTGGTGACACTTTTGTTAGACAAAAAAACAAAGTGGTAGCTCTAAAATGGCGGACGAGTTTTGTAATAATTATGATCCGATTCTATTCAAAATTGGTATCTAGGAGTTTACGGGGTCGGTAATTATGATACCTTCTTCAAAATTTGGAAATTCAAGTTGGCGGAACCAATATGGTGGACGAGTTCTGTAATTATGATTCGAATCCATATATCTACTATTTCTTTATATAGCGCATCACCTATACGATATTTTAACAAAAATGGGACTAAAATGAGAGGTACTTTTTGAATCTATAAGGACGGTAGGTTAGGTTAGGTTAGGTTAGGTTGAACGTGAGTGGGCCTATTGTCAGGCCCTCCACTGCGGCCATTGGCCTATTGTGGCTCACCCTAGGGTTATATTTCTCCCTGTATATCCAATTTCTTAACGAAATTGAGGATTGCGTTGGGAGAACAATTTACCAGGTTTTCTGGCCTTACTGTTGTATTGCCGAATATTGAAAATCTGGTTCTGGCCGCTGCGGGGCATGTACACAGGATGTGTTTCGCCGTTTCATCCTCCTCCATACATAGGCGGCACTCTGCATCTTGTGCAAGTCCGATTTTGTGCATGTGGTATTTGAGTTTGCAGTGGCCAGTGAGCAACCCTACTATAACTCTGAGATCTGCTCTGCTGAGTTCTAGTAGTTTGTCAGTGTCCTGTTTGTTCCTTGTACCAGCAATAAATGCTTTGGAATGGGCTAGGCCCGGTAGACTGCGCCAGTACTCGAGTCTTTTCTTATCTGCCCAGGATGTTATAGCATTCTTGGCAGTGCTATATGCTATACCGATGATCGGTTCTGGCCCAGTGAACGGTGTTTCGGCCCCCCCTTTTGCTAGGGCGTCCGCTATTTCGTTTCCTACTAGGCCCGTGTGACCTGGTATCCAAACTAGGTTCACGTTGTTACGTTCTGCTAGTTGGTTCAAGGTTTCTCTGCAGTTCCATACTGCTTTAGATTTAAAGCAGTTGGATTCAAGCGCTTTCAGTGCTGCTTGACTATCTGAAAATATTTTTATTGTTTTCCGTGTGTGGTGTCGATTTTCCAACTCCCTTGCACACATTTCAATGGCATGTACCTCTGCCTGGAATATCGTAGCTAATTTGCCCATGCTGAATGAGCGTTTCACTACTGGGTTCATCCCGTATATTCCGGCTCCGACGCCTTCCAGAGTTTTAGAACCATCGGTGAACCAACATTCATTAGCCCTATATAGGTCAGTTTCGTTCCGAGCCCAGTCTTCTCTTTCGGGGAAGACCACCGTGTAGGATTTGTGAAGGTTGATAGTTTTAGGCATGATGTCTGAGGGCATTCCCAGAATGTTGTGAGCTATTATGCCCTCCAGCATGCTGCTGCCTCTCATGACTATTGCCTGCGGTTGACTAGTGGCCGCTTGGTGAAGTCTGTATGTTGCCCATCTTGCTTCTCTCTCCAGAACTATGTGAAGAGGAAGTAGTCCAAGAAGGGCTTCCATTGCTGCTGTTGGCGTGGAGCAAATGGCCCCCGTAATCGCCAGGCACGCTTGTCTCTGTAGTCCATTGAGTTTGGCCTGGGCCATTTTCTGTTGGCCTTTGCCCCACCAGACTACAGAGCCGTACGTGATCATAGGTCGTATGACGGTCACGTACAGCCAGTATACTTGTTTTGGTGACATGCCCCATGTTTTGCCACATATTCTGCGGCATGTCCATAGTGATAGGCTAGCCTTTCGGATAGTCTTTTCCAGGTGCGAGTTCCAATTTAGCTTTTTATCAAGGGTTAGTCCAAGATATTTTGCTTCACTCGCGAAAGGAATTGTTACACCATTGATGGAAGGAGGTCTTAGATGTTCCAGCTTCCTTTTTCTGGTGAACGGTACTATGACCATTTTGTGGGGGTTAATGGACATTTCCTCCCTCTCACACCATTTATATATGGTATCTAGTATATCCTGAAGGACGTAGGAGATCGTCTCTTCGGATTTGCCTCGTATTACTAGGACCAGATCGTCAGCATATGCTTGCAGATCGACCTCCCATATCGAGAGAATGGCCAGCAAATCATCCACCAGCAGTGACCACAGCAGAGGGGAGAGGACTCCCCCCTGCGGGCAGCCCCTGGCTGGCTTGAAGCCGACACTTTCCCCCTGTAGGGAGGTCGTTATGGTTCTGCTATGAAGCATAGTTCTTATCCAGTCACATAGTATTGGTTCAATTCCCCTGGAGGCAGTAGCCTCATAGAGGGAATGAGGTAGTGCATTGTTGAATGCTCCTTCTATGTCCAGGAATGCTGCGACTGCTATCTCCTGTTGTTCCAGGGCGTCGTTTATTCCTGAGACCAGGTTATTGAGGGCAAGTTCTGTTGATTTGCCAGCTTGGTAGGCATACTGGTGAACATTAAGGGGGTGTTTTGTTAGTACACCGCCCCTCATGTGTCCATCCAGTATTTTCTCCATGCTTTTCAACAGAAAGGATGTCAGACTAATGGGTCTGAGCGATTTAGGGTGTGGGTCAGTCCGACCTATCTTCGGAATGTAGATCACCCTAGTCGCAGTCCAGTTGGGTGGAATGTAGTTCCAGACTAAACTGGCTCTAAAGAGTCTTGTGAGTATAGGTACAATAAGTTCCAGTCCGATTTGTAACAGAACTGGAGCTATGCCATCCTCTCCTGGCGATTTGTATGGGTGGAACGAGTTAACCGCCCATCTTATCGCTTGTGGTGTGATTATTTTGTTGGCAGCCATCCAGTCACCTCTGCCCGGTCGTTTTGTTCGGCCTGCGTTTGTGACTGGGGGTCGTTTGTCCAGAATCAGGCTACCTGGGAAGTGGTTATTAGCTAATAGCTCTAGTGTTTCTTTCCTGGAGGCCGTAAAGGAGCCGTCTGGACGTTTAAGCGATCCCAGCTCCTGTGTCGGCTCTCTGGATAGAATCTTGTGGATACGAGCTCCGCTTGATGTGCTGGACACATTTTCACAGAATCGTTCCCATGATTCTCTTTTTGCTTTCCGGATATTTTTGTTATATGTGGTTAGAGCAACCCTGTAGTTTTCCCATTCACCTGATTCTTTAGCTCGGTTGAATAGTCTTCGAACTTCTTTTCGTGATTTATCCAGATTTTTGTTCCACCAAGAAGCATTTCGGTTATCCTTTTTCTCCCTTAGTGGACAGTTTTCGTGATATGCTGAGATAAGTGCGGTTTGCAGATGTTCCGCAGCAATATCTATTTGTTCACGACTATGTGTTGTGGTCAGTCCGTTTTGGAGATGGTTCTTCAGGGAGGTTTTGTATCCTTCCCTGTCCAGGCTCCGTATGTCTCGGTATTGTACCACTGGCCTGGGGCCTATTTCAATGTTGAATTGAATGTGTCTATGATCTGAGCATGATGGTTCAGAGGATACCCTCCAATTGGATATCTTATTGCTTAGAAATTCTGAGCTGATTGTTAAATCTAGTACCTCTTTCCTAATACTATTGATGAAGGTTGGCTCAGAGCCCACATTGTTAACTGTGAGCTCCTCCCCCATCAAGTAATTAAAAAGAGACTCACCCCTCGTGTTGATGTTTGTGCTGCCCCACGCTATATGGTGTGCATTGGCGTCACATCCTATCACCAGATGGGTGTTGTTCCTCCGGCTGAAGGCAATTAGTTCTCGCACGGCCGCTGGAGGAGGTTGTTCTGCCCCTGCGTCTCCAGGAAAGTATGCTGAGCAGACGATAAGTTCCGTCATACTCCCTCTCTCTGGAAACTTCACATGGATAGTTGCCATGTCTTGGGTGCAGAAATCTGAAAGAATAAAATAGTTAATGTTGCTTCTGGCTAGGATACATGCCCTGGGTCTTACCCCAGAGCTGACTGCAATTACCTTACCAGATGTATTACTCAGGCCGGTAATTCGGCCTGTGTTGGATGTCCAGGGTTCCTGGATGAGGGCCAGATCTATCCGCTCCTCATTGAATTTTTTGCCAAGGACGTAGGTGGCGGCCTTGGCATGTTGCAGGTTACCCTGCAAGAGCCTGACTGACGTGTCAGCCAGTTCCTTCCTTGCCTTCTTTAGGCGGTCCTCCCCCGCCTTCCCCAGAGGGCGGTTTGCTCCCCTTCCCTCTGGAGGTGCCGGCACTCTTGACGAGTGGTGGTCTATTCGGGATGGATTTTCCCTTTCCCGAGACCCTCCTCGTAGGCTGTTTGGTCTGGGGGGCACTTTTCGGGAAGGATCGGCCTTTCCCTTGCGGTGCTCCCTTTGCGACCGACTTTGGAGGAGTGCTTTCCTTCTCCCCCTCTTGCTGCGTTCGGGAAGGTTCTTTCCCTCCACGACCGCCTTTCGGACGGAACTGAATTCGTCCGAAACCGAAGTAGGGCTTGAATTCCAGCTTCTCCAATGTTGTTTTGGACATTTCGTCTACGGCGAATGTCCAAGTTTGCCCACGGCCCGAGTCCTCTCGGTTTAGTATGACCCAATCCCGAGTGGTCAGACCGTGGTTCATTTTCCTCAATCTCGTGAGCACCATCTCGGCCGAGAGCCGTTCACCGGCATCATCGTCCGGGATGTA